GTGACCACTGAGCATGGAAGGTAATACTCCCATGACCCGTTGTCCACACATATCCAATGTCTACTCCCCTAGATGACTCCCAAGCCCATAAAACTGACAGTTAAACTTCCACATTCATCGATGGTTTGTTTTTATCTCCAAGGCTGAAAATGTTATCTGGCAGAGAAAGTATGTGTCCCAAGGCCCAGGGCTCAGGGCACAAAAACAGCTTCCCAAATGTGTGAATTTAAAAAAGTACTATCATTTTTAAAGTACAAGTCTTGGCCACTAGGAGCTATTTTCTGTCCTTGGCAATGACTGTAGCAAAAACAAAGTCACTTAAAGGGCAGAGGGCAGTACTTTAGGGCCGTGAGAGACAGAGGGGACATTACTTGATTTCTTTTTATAGCTATTTGGGCTGTTTCCAATATTTTGTTATTACAAGCACTATAGAACAGGTTAAATTCATGGAAAATAAACTGTGCATTTTAAAACTATCCAAAAATCCCTGCAGAATGACTTTGTGTATTTTTATTCACATAAATGAAAAATTAACTTTATAGACAAAAACACTTAAATCTGCATATACTTACAAAACTTCTTGTGGTACAACCATTCCTCATATGTGAAAGGCCAGTGACAAGAATGTTCCCTTTGTAACTAATGGTGTCTGAGAAGATGCTTTTCTGCTGAGTGTCCTGGCTCACGACAGCAGGGCCTCCAGACTGTGGTCTCCACACAGCTCCAGCCAGCCCCCTGCTGACCTCTGTGGCCACCGCAGGCTCCCTCCAGTTGCTTTTCTGCCTCACCTTGGCCCTGTCTTCTGATTTTCTGTCCCTTTTGCAGCCTGATACCTGCTTGTTCCTCCCCTAACTTGGAGAATTATGTCTCTGTATTGTTACTTATTTAATTTATGATGGATAACTCACATACATTTTGGGGGGTAGAATTGTGATGTTTGATATAAGTATAAAATGTGTCATGATTAAATCATGTTAATTAACATATCCATCACGTCTCTCATATGTCATTTTTATTGTGACAGTCAAATTTTAATTTCTTATTTTGAAATATATAATGCGTTCTATAGACTCCACTCACCATGCTATGTAATAGATTCCAAAATGTTTTTCTCCTGTCTTTCTAAACTTTGTACCTTTTTATTTTGATACATTTTGGTTAGTGACTCTCCTTTCTACCTACATCTCCATTGTAGTTAAGGTTTGCAAGGGAAAAGATTTAATACCAGACACATACTATATAGATTCTTTTATAATATTCACCCAAAGACTCAAATGCAAAAGAGTGCAGGAGATCTGTCCACATACTAAAGACTCAAAGAATTCAGTTGAAGACCTAGGATCCATGCAAATGTCCTCCATGAGTCCAACTGGAGGCCTAGACCTCACGACGACATCCTATACAAGTCTGTATTAAGGTTCATCACTGGAAAGGTCCAGAGGTCAGTGGTGGAAGCTAGAAAGTCTAAGACAGCAGGCTGAGGGATCTGCACTGGAGCCAGGAAGTGATGCTCCAGGTAAGGATCAGAGCTCCCCCAAAGAGAAGTGCAGCCATCCTCAGTGACAGCGAGGACCTGGATGACTCAGCAATAACAACTGAGTTCATTTGAGGAAAGTCGGTGTGAAAAGCTTCTCCAGGAGGATCAACTGCTCACCATTTTCCTTTCCAGTTCTGATTTTTATCTGTGGCAACAATCCTCAGATGGAACTTGCACACCCAGAACCACGCCCATTCAGTTCAGCTGAGTGTTACAAGTTGACCATTAGTTAATCCAACACAAACTATCACTCTGAGACTCTTGGTAACCATCATTGTACTTTCTGCTTCTATTAATTCAACTCTAAAAGATTCCACATATGTGTGGAACCATTTATTATTTGTCTTCTTATGCCTGGCTTATCTCAATTATCAAAATTCATCCATGTTACTACATATAGGGGATCTCTTCACTTTTAAAGAAGGAATGTAATCCATTGTGTATTATTTACTATATTTTCTTTATTTACTCATCCACCAATGGAAATGTTAGTCTGAACCCTAATATGGTACATATTGCAATAAGTATGAAAGTGCAGGTATGCCTTTCGACATGTTGATTTCAATTCATTTGGCTAGATACCCAGAAGTGGGATTTCTTGGTTTATTTTCAATGTTTTGAGAAGCTTCTAGACTGTCTTCCATAATGGCTGCACTATTTTAATTTCTGCCAGCACTGTATAACTCTTTTTATTATGTATTCTCCAACAACTGTTATTTTTCATTTCTTCTGTTAAAAAAAACATTGTAGCAAATGTGAGGCACTTTCTGGGAGTTTTAATGTGCATTTCTTTAATGATTAGTGATGAGAATTTTTTTGTGTGCTTACTGACCATTTGTATGTCTCCTAGGGAGAAATATCTCTTTGGGTTCTTTCTCTGTATTTTAGTGGGATTGTTTGCTCTCTTGTTACTGAGTTCTTGAGTTCTTGATGTATTTTGGATATTAACTCTTCATCAGATGTATGGCTCACAGCTGTTTTCTTTCATTCTGTGAGTTGTTTCTGCATTTTATTAATTATGTTAATAGACCCTAAACTTGGTATAGTACCATTCATTTACTGTTACTCTAATTGCCTGTGTTTTCAGGATCATAGACCAATGTGGGGGAGCATTTCCACTATTTTCTTCTAATAGCTTTATAGTGTCAGGACTTACGTTACACCTTTAACTCTTAATGTTTGTGTACAGTGTAAGATAATCTCTAGTTTCACTCTTTACCATGTGGATATTTAGTTTTCCAAACACCATTTATTAAGGAAATTGTCCTTTCTCTGTTGTATGCTCTTGTGTTCTTTCCTTCTTATGTGCTAATGATTAATGATTTATCAAAAATCAATTGGCCATTAATACATAGATTTATTTTTGAGTTTTCTATCCTGTTTTATCGGTCAGTGTGTCTGTTTTTATCCAGAGCCACATTGTTTGATGAGCCTCAGTGGGAGGAGCTTGGCACCTTTACTGTGGGTTTCATTTGTATGATCACTTGGGCTTTTGGCAGCCTCTAGGTGAGAATAAAATTTACCAGGAGATTAAGGCACATAGGACCAAAGCATGAGCAATAGAATGGAAAGGCAAATTGGGGAAGGAGTCATGTCCACAGTTCTTAAGGGACTAGAATAGCAGTTGTAACCCGCTGGCTCCTAGACATCAGATGTAGTTAGACACTGCCAGCAGGGGGCAGTGATTAGAGCCCCTTTCGTGCTTACTCTATTTTGTTATTCCTTTTGTATGTCTTTGGTTGTATTCTACTGGGTGTTCCAGATCAGGTTAAAGTGAGACCTGTGTTAACCAAAGTTAATCTCTTACTATCAAAGTCAGTTAAGGCTGTTTAAGCATTACTTTTCAAACCATGTACAGAGTTTCTCAGCTTTTCTGTCAGTGCCAGGATGGGTCATAGTCTTGCGTCACTGTGTAGCTTCCTGTGAAAGCAGGCAAGACTTTTTCTCTTTGGTACCCTCCTTTACGGCACACTGTGGATTGGCTGTCCTCTGAAGTCCGACAATTTCCTAGCTCAGGGGTTTAGGTGATTCACCAAAGTTGTAGAATCCCTCATGTCCTAGGTCTTTGTTGACCTTGGAGGGGTAGGACCAAAATATTGGCTTTTAAGTCCAGCTATCGTTTTAACTTTGGTATCTAAGCCTTAGTTGTTGAACACCCAGAAGTTTAGTTGCATGAGTATTGAAGTTGGAACAGTAAGTTTAACCATTATAATCTCATCTGAATATCAAGCACTTTGAAATATGAAGTATATTGTCTCCCTAGTGTGAGAAACTGAAAGCATAATTAAGATATTATAAACATATGTTAATTCTGGATAGGATGCCATGCTGGCCTTCCAATGTTTTTTCTTCCTTTTCAAAATTGTTTTAATAACTTCAAGGCTTTTTTTGGATTTTCATAGAAAATTATCTTCAAGTATTTAATCTTAAAATGTTTCTTGAAAATTTTAATTTCTCTGTAATGTTTTCTAATTTTCTGTATATTGATCTTGTAAATTTTGTGATGAGATTTATCACTATTTTATATTTAAACTGTAAATATACTCTTGTAACTGATGTGTTTTGTTTTCATTTGTCACCATGAGGTAGAAGTATAATTGCTTTTCAATAAACAGTTATTTAAAAAAATATAAAATAAAGGCAGAGGACTCTGGTTGTTTTAGAAATTGAATTCCTGTAGGACATTAATTGAGAAACTTGAGATCAAGGGCCATGTCATAATGACATGTCATCCTTGAAATCTTTGAAACACTTTGTAATGTCCATCTTAGTATAAAATAGTCATCTGTATCTAATTACTAGATAATAAATGATGTAAAGAAATATTTACTTAATTTTTGTACCTTTAATAGGGTGCCCCTGAAGAAGAATGCACTATAGATGCATGTTTTAATGTCTAGCTTTTAATTTTTAGTGTGTGACATGGTCTGTACTGCAAATGTAGTGACACATACATAATATACACATGACATAAGCTTTAAAAATATCATTTGACTGGTGGTCTCATGTTGACTTGACATGTACTTTTTATCACAAATATTTGGAACATAAGAGAAAGGCAGATATCTGAGTCTAAAAGAAAACTATCATCATAAAAATCCCTAGCTTGTGAGTCACCAGCATGATGAGAAGTCTTTTTAGTTTTATATCATTGAAGACCTGTACCCCAAAATGCCTGAATACATTTAGTATACCATGAAATCAGTGCCAAGGCACCCTATGGCAGGCCTGCATACCATGTAAGAGAGGAAAAAGAGGCTTGCTTCCCCTCTTTGTTCTTGTTGCTTTTGATGTCCTTCACTGCTGTGAACTTAGCCCCTCTGCCATGCCAGCCTGCCTTGGAGCCAATTGATTATGGGCTGAAACCTCCACAAACTTTGAGCTAAATAAACCTTTCCTCCTCTAACACTGGGTGTTGGGTATTTTTGTCTCAGCAACAAAAGAAAAGTAACTAACCCAGGTATGAATGTATTTGATTATTTTAATGAGAGTAACACACAGAAGTGAATGATGAAAACCATGAATTCTACATTCAGAGGTAATTATTAGGACATTGCTAATAGGAGTTTCTGGAAATGATGGAATGATGATTAGATCAACATAAGGAAAAGAGCAATGAACAGAATAGAAATAGTAAAGAGTTTGAACAGGTGGAAGAATACATAAGGCTTCTGAAGATCCCCAACAATTCGTGTGCTTGTAGGTTTCAACGTCCGGTCCCACTGGGTCAGGATGGCATTTCTGGCTCCTGACCACTTACCTGGCCCTTCTAGTCTAAACTGGTAGGGGCTGCAAGGGCCAAAGAAAACTTCCACAGCCAATACGGGATCTGTGAGAAACAGCCACAGGATGTTGGGCTTTGCACCAATGAAGGAGGCTATTTCATCCATATAAACGACATAATCCGTCTGCAGAGTCTCACTTTGGCCAAACCTAGTGGTGGGGAGGAAGCAACACAGTGGATAAACAAACTTTGTGTAGTAAAAGAAGGGGGAAGGTGCCACATATCTTTTTATCAGTGGGTATCAGTGTCAACTTGGGGGTTAGGAAGTATGCCTTATGATTCCTGAACTCTGTAGTTTTTTCAAAGAATTTCAAATTGGTCTTATAATTTGGAAGCTCTCTGATGGTGCAAAACAGTTGAACATAGTATTTTTATCCCTATAAAGCAATATATCATGTCTTTATTCACCATATATTTTGATTCCCAATGTACTGTCTGAGACACAGAAAGATAAAACCAACTGTATAATACAGAGCCTTGGTTCTGCTATTTTATCAGCATCTTGCAGTTAAAAAGACAATACATGTCAGGTGCAAACTATATTTTTGCTTATATTCTTGAATGAATGAATGAATGTAGCTCACAGCTGCCATTCTAATGACTTCACTAAGGATCATTTAAGACAAAAACAACAACTATTCATAAATTCTGATTTTTCTAGGCAGATATTAGACCACTACACTGGATGCTCTTACCATTTTTTATTTTTCCCCACTTTCCCATCAATATCATCCATCATGACTTTCACAGAAGGCAAAGTACATGTTCCTGGAAAAGAGAAAAGACATGATAGTAGTTAAAATGAATCTGGCATGGTAATAGCCTGCCACTTTTAATTTTTAATGAATTGTGAAACACATTAGTACTTAAAAAGTTTGGTCACTGGTTAGCAAAATAAAATCTTAGGGAAATGAATAGGTATTGTTCTGAGACACAGTAAAACTCATTCCTAGTCAGTTTTCCCATCACTAAGACAGCACCTAATAGCCACAGTTCCAAGGAAGAGAGATTTATTTTGGTTCATGGTTTCAGGGAATCCAGTACATGGTTAACTGACTCCACAGCAGGAACATGGCAGAAAGGTGTGGCATTCAAAGAAGCTTTGTTCATGACAGTCTTGAGAAGCAGAGCAGAGACTATTCATAGTGTAGTGCCAAGGAGCATATATAGTACCTGACCTCTTATCTCCCTGACTAGCCCAGGCATATGCAGAAGCGTTTTACTAATCCAGTCAATTCAACTTATCACAATTAGTGTTCCTACTAGTCTTCTATGAACTGGTACATACCTCAAAAATTAAAGATTGCTACCTGAATAGCTTCAACATTTTGTTCTTAAATTGACTGATGTTTAAATCAGTTTCCAGGGTTATACTCCAAGTTCTCCATTTGTAAGAAGTTATCTAATAGATTAGAGCCATGAAGAGGTGAATTGGTAAAAATATTTTTTTTTAATTTTAAGAAAGAAAGGGTTGGGGGTTTAGCTCAGCGGCATAAGCACCTGCCTTGCAAGCAGGTGGTCATGAGTTCGATCCCTGGTACTGATTGAAAAAAAAAAAGTTAAAAAAATTTTTTAAGAAAGAAAAAACTTCATAGGAAATAATTCTCCTTTTCTAGAAAAGAGAATTTCCAGTGGATAAGATAAAGAATTTAGTGAAGCTCCACATCTCTCGAGTTCCTACAGTTCTGCATATGACTCAGTATAGGCTGTTCACTAGGCTCAAAGGGCGGAAGAGCATTCCAGAGACAAACCTGATTTGGGATCATCTCTAGGATTTTAGGTTCTCATGGGTTTATGGAGTTCACAAAACACAAACCAAAATAAGTTTTTGTACTCAAATGTATGCCAAGTTCAGATGACTTCTCTGACAATCTTAGAATTACTCTGAATGATGTGAAGATCTCTGGTTGTCTTGCTTTGAAATCTGTATCTCTTACATTGTTACATCTTGCAGTCTGGTTTGTTCTGTTTTGTTGTTTAATTTTACCCTCTTTAAAAATTAAAATAAAATTAAAAATAAGGAATTACTCTGAATGAGATTAGAAGACCTAGTGTAAATATGATTGATTAGACCCTGTAGTGACTTACTTAATTCCCCATTCTTGCAATCTTTACTGGGAGGGTCACTGAACAGTTTTTGTAAATATGACGTAGTTCTAGACCTTGGACCCTGTACTATTCTTAAGCAAGAGAAAAGACTGAGAAGAAAAAGAGTTATGAGCATTGGGCTGTTTGTAATTGGCCCTTCTGCCTGGGTACTCTGGTTCTCCAAAACAAGGTTGTTTGCTTTATAGAGCCTGAGCCTTTGCTTTGTATATCAATTCCCTATCAATTGCCTTGTTTCCTTTTTTCAGAGCCCAAGGTATTTTTCTTATTTTCACAGCCAGCAACTGTACCACACTTCTTTAATTCCAGTCTCTCTGGTCCTGAACCCTGAATGGAGCTCTGAGTGGCATCTTGTGTCATCACTTTCTGGTTGCAGCTCACTACAGCAACATCACCATCTGAGTCAGCAACACACATTTGTCTGGGCGGGAGGAATTAAAGAAGTCTCAGGGAGATTACTGACATATGGGACTAATCTGATGTGGAAAGCTGCCTCATGGTGAGAGATGGCCTTGGATATGGGCTTTCAGGTTCTAAGTTTCCATATAAAAAATGTTTTCAAGCCTCATCAAACCAGCGTAGGACTGGGAGCCTTAAATATGACTTCCAAAGAAAGCAAGCCTGCTAAGACACCCTCATCCACAAGTTTTGTAAATCTAGCTTCAATTTAAAGTCACATAAACTCTGGCATCTCTATATTTTTTCCTACTTGGTCTTATAGTCTAATTGTGTTCAGAATTGCACACTGCATTCACATTTTCCTGTGAGTCTGATCCTATTGCCTGTTGGTGGGGGATGTGGGCTGTCTTACTTGCCTGACCCCTTCCACTTCATTCTAGTTCTTGTGTCCTTCTCTTTTTAAAATCCAGGAAGCCAGTACTTCTACCAGCATATCTTAGAAACCGATCACCTACCACACATAGTATTTTCCACCTCTAATCATCCATTGCTTGTTCTCAACTTGCCATAGTAAGGAAGAAAGGAGTAGTAGAAAAGTCTCTACATCTCAAAAATCATATTATCCATGACTGTAGATACCTGAAGTTCAGTGGATACTGGTTTAGAAACATCTTTGATTAACCTTTCAAGCAATGTAATTCTACTGAGTTTTGATACCACAATTTTATAACATTGTCATACACAATTACAAGAACTCTGGAAGACCAAGAATTCTAAGTCTAACAAATGGTCTTGGGTAATTGTAAGCTCAAAAGAAATACAATGGAAAAAAGTTGCCTTAATAATATCTTGCTATTGCATAGAATAATCCAAAGTGATGCATTTTAAATTAAATTGCTTATAAAATGTAGCACCTAAGAATATAGAATTATAGAGTCAAAAAATTAAATAGGACCCTTATAATTAGTATTTTTGTTTTCACCAATGCTCAAAGGCATTCTCACGGGTATCCATCAGTGAAGTACTTTGTCCATTTACCTTTTATTACTTGTGTTGCCCAGCGGGCCTGGAGGTCAGTCGTGGGGATGGCAGCCCCAAGGGATTGGACAAGGCCAATCACAGCAAAGGTTGACTTCTCTAGGTGAGGAGGGAAGATGCCTTTATACAAGGTGGTCTCATTGTTTCTGCTTTTAATGATGGATTCGTCAAGGAAAGGGTAGGCATAAGTATATCCTGTTGCAAAGATGACACAGTCAATGCCCTCAAACTTGGTTCCATCTTCAAAAATGGCTGCGGTCTCCGTGAACTTCTTCACATTAGGCTTGATGGACACGGTGCCACACAGGATGCGAGCTGGCAGTTCATCATTGAACACAGGCTCTTTCCTCAGGGTTCTGTAGGGCAGTAGACATAGTCATTAGGACAGTAAACGTCGTCCTTGTCTTACTGGTTCATATATAATTTGGAAAGGAAGGAAACAATTACCTAGAATTTTTTTCCTGGGCCATGGAGTGTTATCAATATAGTTGAAAAACAAAAGTGAATTGAAACAATATCTTGAAGAACTTGATCTTTGCAGCCCTATTGTCTAGTTTCTCTAGTCTTACCCTTTTCTCTATAGAGAAATCTCCATAAATCTCAAAATAAATACTTGTATCCATTCCCCTAGTAATGTCTATATCAGGAAAATACTAAAGTAAGAATTATGTTTCTTAAATCAGCCATGCCTCATTTTTCTCATTTACAATAGTAATAACATTTATATATATCTCAGGACATTGGGAGACCCAAATAATATGAAAAATGCAAAAAATAAAAGCAAAGAAAAAAGAAAAATGCTACAGTCTCTAGCACACATACTTGGTACTAAAACATTAGCTGCTATTTTTATTACAGTATACCACAAACTGGTCACTGTAACATCAAGAAAATCAAACACGATGAAGTGACTCAAAGATGGGAAAGCTGTAGCAGAGGGGCTCCCAAAGGGGGATGAATTTGGAGTCCCAGGCAGACAATAGCACAACTCAGATGAGGCAGGGAGCACACAGAAATTTAAATGAGGTCAGAAGGAGATAGAGGCCAGTTTGTAGCTTTGCCCACTGGAAATCTGAAAAAAGAGCTTCTGATTATTTTTTATTCTAAAATATATCTATGTCAATGTGAACTTAGTGATGAATTTGAACAATATTGAAGGAAAAGGTCTATGATGTTATTAACTTATTATGCATATTATGCAGCTGTGAAAGAGTAAGCAACCAGATAACAAGATTGGTTGGAATCCTGACTGGAGAAGTGGTGTAATTAACTGCATTCATTACTTGCCATTTATGTAAAACCCACTGCCATTGATCTTTCCACTCCTGTTACCACCGTGAAATTGCCCTCGTCAAGGCCATCTGAAGCACACTGCCAGATTAAATGTTCCACTCTCACTTATCATTTTAATCGGCTTATGAGGTGTTGGAAGCGGATGAAGCTAGAGATTGATCACATGTGTGGGGCTGCAGCAAAGTGAACAAAGAGCATGGCAAGCCCTGTGAACAAGCTGCTCCAGCCCAGAGTACACCAGGTCCCAAGACAATCCAAGCAATAGGTTGCTAGGCAAAGGGGTGTCACGTGACATCAGCTGGCTAAATGTCTAAACAAAGGCACTCCACTGGCTGAGCAGTTCCTTTTCTCCCATCCAGAGACAGGGCTCCACCTGATCCAGCTTTTGTCTCCGTTCTTTTCTTCCCATACGCTTGCTGTCCCCTACCCCCCAACATCTAGAGCTGCTGCTGGGTGCTACAACTAGGAACCCTTCACACAGCTGATGGTTTCCTGCCCTTCAGAGTGCCATCTCCATCCTGTTTTCAGGGTGCCACTTTCTCAACCTGTTTTCTACCTACATGGCTACTTTCTCAGTGTCCACTGCTGGGTTTTCATTTCCACCTTACTTCTAAACCACGGTATGACCCAGGGCTCGGCCCTCAACCATTTACCTTCTCCACCTACATTCATTCTTCATAAGATCTTATCACATTCAAGCTTTTTTTCTGCTTTGTTGGGTTCACTGCCACTCAGTATCTTTTCTAATGATTACCTACTAGGCATTCGAAGTTTGATATGTTTAAACTAAATCTCTCCTCTTCCCACAGTAAATGCCAACTCCATTCTTGCTCAGAACAAAAGATTTGAAGGTATCTTTGAATCCCTTTTTGCTCCTCACATCCTTTATCCAGGCTAACAAAAACTCCCATTTAGGCTGTGTTCAGAATCTGCCCACTGAAGACCATCACTGCCAATAGTTTACTCTGGGTCACTATCCTCTGTCACTTGAGATTGTTTTTTTTTTAACAATAGCTTCTCAACTAGTCCTTTACTTCTCCTGGTGGCCATTTCCCTACAACAGATGATGATCATGGCAGGTACAGTGTCCCCATATTAACTTAGATCTTGTCACTAACAGGCTCAGATTCTGGCGACTTCCTGACATTTTCAGAGATAAAACCAGACTCCTTACCTCCTCTGGCTATTGTCAATCTCTGGTTGGTCTCCTAGTGCTCTCTTCTTTCTCTTTATTCTCCAGGAGGGCATGCCAGCCATGCTCTCAAAATAGTGATCTTGGGGGTGTCCAGTGGACCACCCTCCCTGGGTATCCTCATGGCTCATTTACTCTTTTCTCCTTCAGAGCTCTGCTTAGCAGTCTTCTGCCTGAGGACCACTCTGAGGACTCCTGAAAATTATTCTGATGGCCCTTCCTGTCACGCTTACCTCATTTGTTTTCCTCTCAATAGCACACATCACTATATGCTCTCCTGCTGTTTTTAGGGTTTGTTTCCTGACATTGTACTTAGAAGGAAGGTTCCATGAGGGTAGGATTTATGCTGTTTCCTTATTGGTTGTGGTATCCACAAAGCTTAACACTGAGCCTAATATATAGCAAATGTTTAATTTATACTCCCAAATTAGTGAATTCACTTTGGTGGAAACTGTTTGGGTTTTTCACCTCATATCAAAGTCATTTCATCCCATGTGGTAAGCTTGAGATATTACAGAAGAAAATGAGGCAAAAACCAAATATGCAAGACCAATGGCTGAAGTTCAGAGGAATCCACTACGGGTATGCAATGAGGATGTAGTGCAGGGACTGTTCTCTCACTTTGCTGAACTTGAGTTTGACATTAAATGTGAGGCACCAAAGCAAACAGCTAAGAACAAGGGGCTCAAGAATCAGTAGACTTGAGTTGGCTTTGTTCCGCCTACGGTCCTCCACTCTACCAGCTCAGCTATGGAAGGGTTCTCTGTGGGCTGGTTTTGGATGCTGTTTCTACATGTTTTCTGCAAGACTTTGGTAAAGTTATTAACTACACTGAACCTCAATTTTCTCATCTAGAAAGTAGGGATATTAATAGAGCCCTCTTTACAGTCGCGAGAATAAAATGAGGCATCAGAGACTTTGTTGAGATTTGACAAAACTCTCACATGTGTTAAATGACTAAAATATACTTATTATTACCATTCCTGTGGGAACTCATTGCTTAAATATTAACTTTTTGGCTGTGCAATTCTGATAAGGAGGTTTGGTGGGAATTCCTCTTTATCCTCTAACACATGAGATCTGATTGCTACACCAATATTTTGATTTGCCTTGGAGTTACAACACACTTTTAGAGCTGTTGACCTTGAGGTGAAAGGCAGGTAATACATTGTATTAATTCTCCATTACCCATTTAAAGGCATCAATCCATAGTTCTCATGCTTGAATCTTGCATTCATCTGTTTCACGTACCACCAGTCAGAGATTGCTGTTGGCAACTTGTTCTTTAGGAAACTTTGAAATCGAGTGACAAACAGCATATCCCAAGGATAACCATCATCCCAGACCCGGCTCATCACCCAAGATCCACTTCTGGAGCTGATCATGACCTTGAAATACAAAATCAACCATGAAAGTGGTGAGATTTTCAGTGGACATTGTAATATGTTTCCCAAATGCCCCTTCTGAGTGGTTAATACTCCACCGCTTGGAAGTGTTGCCAGTAGGAATACAATCCATTAGCTGTGGGCCTTTAGAGGAGCCACTTTGGCTCTTATATACTTTCTGCCACTTAGTTTTCATATCAAGTACCCCGCCCTTTCTTCCCCTCATATCTAGGGATCACAGGGTTTCTGTCTCAATGAAGATAGTCCCCTGTGTCCATAGGACCCAGTACCTGCTCTGCTGTGTGGCTCAGTTCTGCAGCAATGTCACAGCCTGAGTTCCCCAAGCCAATCACCAGGACACGCTTCCCCTTCCATATTCCTGGTTCCTTGTAGTCCCTGCTGTGGAAGCATTTGCCTTTAAAATCCTTTAATCCTGAGTGAAAGTGGGAAACGTATGAATCAATTTGATTTCCATTAAGAAATAAAACACGGTGCTTTGACAGAGATCAACTTGTGTGTAAGTACAGAACCCAAAATATGGACTTTCAGTGTTTCAAATATATTAGATGTAACCAAAATATATTTTAATGTAACTTGTTTGTACTTTCTTTTTTTCTAAAATAGATTGTCCTAGTTTGGATACAGTTGGATTATGATACTCCTATGCTGGAAGCTTGGTCACCAGTGCAGTGGAGTTGAGGTGACCAGTCATCAATACATTGTTCTTGTCAGACAGATACATGGCAGTCTTACCTGGAAAGGACTCTTTTGGTATGTTGGGGTACACATGATGTCCAGAACAAACCATGACAGCATCAAAGACAGCTGACTGTTTTTTACCATGTTTTTCAGTGGTGATATCCCACTGGCCAGTAATTGAGAAATCAGGACGTTTAGTTACACTGGTTACGAGTGTCTACGAGAAATACACAGAAAAAGCCTTATTGTCTGTGCTAACATTTGGCTTTGGCAAAAGCAGTATGAAAAAATCCTTAATTCATTAGCAAGGTAGAAGTAAGTTACAAATTGAAAGTTGTCTGTGAAAAAACTAAAACATTCACACACACACACACACACACACACACACACACACACACACATTTTATTTTGGCATAGTTTCTTACGCGTGACCAGTATTTTCTGAGCACAAGAGTGATATTCCTTTGAAATATGATATGACAGTGAATTCAATCATGGTTTACAAAAAGTGCAAAACAAATATAAGTAATTTGGTGGCCAGTGCCTCACTTATCTCTCTTGCTATAACATTTCCCTTTCTGATATTATTACTGCATTTAAATAAAAGACATCTATATTCAGGACATAAGTTTTATCTCTAACTTTGTCATTGTGTTTCACCTGGGAAGCTTGTTAAAGTCCTCACTTTTGGGACACATTTCCAAATGTTCTGGGTTTGTAAGTTCAGTGTAAGGCACACGATTTTAAATTTCTAGCCCTTCCCATGTGACGGTGATACTATCCTTATAAATAAAGATTATCATTAAATATTTATTCCTAGCTAAGCAACTACTCATTGGTGTCATGTAATTCTTCTGATTATATTAGAAGAGAAATCCTTACTTGATAGTAGTTTTTCTTTAAAACCTTATTACATCATATATTATACATATCAGAGATGGTATATACATATATGTAAGGTCTGTTTACTTATGAAATATAATAATAAAACAGGCCCTATGACCTTGCACATAGTTTGTATAGAATAACTCTGGCATTATTAGTTTATGCAATTATGACACATTTTCTGGAATTACAGTTTCTATGCTGTTTTTATCTTCAGAAATATAATCAATTTATATAATATCTTCAGATATATAATATCTTCAGAAATGTAATCCGTTTATCTATATTGATTTTACAGGCAATTTCCTTGCTTAACTTTTTTATTATTATTTTAAGAATGTAGACTTTTGGGTTTATCGTAAATATGGCCAAGTCTGTTGGAAAGAATAATAATAATTAGGAATCCTGACCTTTTCTTGGATTTTAAAGGAAATAACTTCTAACTTTCTAGCATTTAAAGGCAATAACTTCTAACTTTCTACCATTTAGTACCGCACTGTTCAGTAGCAATATAATATAGGCAATATAGTAAAATTCTCCTAGTAATCTCATTCAAAAATAGAAAAATTATAGTTTGACTCACTCTACCTACTACAGTAGCTTCTATGTGATCAAAATAGTTATTAGTGGAACCTCTTACATTTTTTCATCATAAGACATTGAAATCCTCTGTAGTTTACACATCTCAGTGTGATATGGTGGCTGAGTCTAGCATATTGCACAGTGAAGATTTAAGATAATGTGTTTCTCTTGGTGGGTTAAGAAATTTCTCTTCTTGTCTTAGGGGTTTTTTTTTTCTTTCAAGTATAAATGGGTGTTAAATTTAATGAATGTGTTAGCAAACATAGTTTTCTTCTTGTAAAGATTTTTTGAAGTAAATTACATTCTTATATTTATAATACATTAAAATACTTCAATCTTTGGGCCAAATTCAATTCAAATAAAGGTTGGTATAGATTGTTAATTATTTTTAATACTCCGATGGGTTGATATTAATGAGAGAGATGGACCTGTAACTTCCCAATTTCATATTATCTTTTCTGAATTTGATAATAAGATCATAATGTCATCAAATTAATTTGTAAATATTAGTTCATTTCTTAGCTTCTGAAAGAATTTATAAGATATTGAAATAATCTGTTCTTTGGAAATTTTGATGTACTTGCCTATAAAGCTATTTTTCTTATACGAAAATTTTTAATTTCTGAGTCAAAAGAATTATAAATAATCAAAGACTTGTTCAGATTTTCTATTTCTTCTTGAATTTTGGTAATTTGTAAGAAATAAATTTAAAATTAGACAATTAAAAATCTTATCTGGTAAATATTTTTACAATATTATTATATTTTAAAATTTTATTTTCATTTTTTCTTTCCCAATGCTATTTATTTGTGGCTTTGCTCATATTTTTAACTGTCAGCCCTTTTGTTTATTTATCTTCCTAGATTTTTCAAAGTGTGAACATTTAATTTTGTTTTCTATTTTAATTAATTTATTTTATTATATACTTTTCTGCTTTTTAGGTTAATTTTAGTTTTAGCAAATTTATGAAACTTTACCTTTTTGCTTTTAAACCTTTCTCATTTTTGATCACGAGTATTTAAATGTGTAATTTCATGAAAACATAGCTCTCTTTGTTTCCCACAAGTACCAATATATAGAATCTAAATCACTTCATTTTAAATTTTAATTAAATTTCTTCTTTGCTCTGTATGCTATTTAGAAAAAGTGTTTACTTTCCAAATTGATGAGGGTTTTTTGAAATTATTTCTTTGTTCTGATTTCCACTCCTGTGTCATTTTGGTATAAAACTGTGGTCAGGTTTTGTAGCTTTCTCATATATTCTTAAGAAAAAGGTATATTTACGAAATCTAGGATTAGAGAAGCCAGACTGTTAAAGTATTGGCAAATAAGAAAGGGATACTAAAAAAAGAAAAGAGGAGGAATACAGCAACACATGTGACTGTCATTATGTCTAATGCTAGTTTGATGATAACATCTTACCTCAAATTGTATGTATTTCAGAAGGCTCTTTTGTTTGGCAAATGCAACGATGTATTCCTGAAGCTTTCTGTGGCACATAAAGTTGGGGAAGTCATCAGGAAAAGGGACATCAGGAAAACACATCATCTCTTTGGAAGAGTTGGTAAAGACTGATTTGTAAATGCTGGCCCTGCCCTCCTCTGCATGGTCCTATGAATGAATGGGTTCATACGGAAGAAGACAGGTAAATGGCTATGTCCATCATGTTTGAGTCTAACTAACCACACTGATTTGAGTTGGCCTTAATGCACAAATAAATTCAGTAAGAAGACACATATATAAAGTCACTTAAGTAATTGATGCTAATCACAGAAACATTGAAAGAAGTCATAATAGAGAAAAATTTACCTTTTTTTAACATATTTTCTTTTCTAAGGGAAAGAACTTTATTATATCCTTTGAGAAATATGTATCCAGAACTTTATGTCCTTGAAGCATTAAATATGAAGACAAGGCATTTTCTAAATTTTAACTTTGTATGATTTCATTGTTTCAACTAATGAATATGAACATCTAGTGGTCACTTTATAAAAGCAAGTAATGACAAGTATATTTCTGAATATTTATATGATTTGAAAACATGAATGTTTTTAAATGAAATCTTTACAAAATTAATCTCATATATATACCATATATAAAATAATGTAGCTATTTTGAACCAAGCACATTGATTTTATAGGCATTGTATATGCAGTACATCAGAAATGTAAAAATACCTGAATGTGTTATACTAACACTGAGAAGCCACAGAACCATGCTAATAAAACCTGAAAGGAACTGTTAATTTATAATGGAAAAAGAAAGGAACCATTGAAGAAACAATGACCAGCGATTAGAAAACTGGGACACTCTTGTGGTTCTCAGCTTTAGCTGTACACTGGAATAAACTGGGCACCGGTGGGGTGGGGGAGGGCGGGGAGGGAGCCTGAAAAACATCGGAGTTAGGAAAATTTGATTTAGTCGCCCAGAAGTTTTAAATACTCTTCAGTGCTAACTTTCAGCCAAGTTTGGCAGTCACAATGTGTTACGAAACAAACAGAAATCAATGACTAACAAACTCAACAGAGTACATCTAGTAACCTATTCGTTACAGCTGGAGTCTCCATAATGCAAGATGTTGGAGTGACTAAAAGGCATTGTGTTTCAGAAAATATGACTAGGAACATACTTTTGTGTGTGTGTGTGTGTGTGTCTTTTTCCTTTTTATCGGTACCAGGGATTGAACTCACGACTGCCTGCTTGCAAGGCAGGCGCTTATGCCACTGAGCTAAATCCCCAGCACCAACTAGGAACATACTTAAGAGGTAAATCTTCATGTAGCTTCCTTGAACCACAAAGGTACTTTATGACTACGCCACTACTCTAGGTGAAATGTCTTTCTTTCTTAAAACAGAAACATTTAACCTTGATGAAAGATAAAGTAGGCAAAACTCTGGAAATTATAGATGTAGGCAAGGATTCTCTGAACAGCACCCTGTTTGCACACGAAAGAGTGCCCAGAATCAGTAAGTGGAATCACATCAAATTAAAAAGCTTCTGTGCAGCAAAAGAATGACCAACAGAGTCCCGTTTCCTGATGATTTTCCTGCTGTGCTACAGAGAGGATGAAATCTGGAATATATAAAGAACTCAACAAATCAGACACCCCAAAGTAAAAGACTTAATAAAAATGGGCAAGCAAAATGAAGTGTACAGAAGAAATACAAGTGGTCAAGAAATACATGAAGAAATGCTCCACATCGCTGGCCATTAGAGAAATGCAAATTAAAACACTGAGATTCCACCTTACACCAGACAGAATAGCTATTGTCAAAAAAAATCAAAGAATAACAAATGCTGGAAAGGCAGCAGGGAAAAGGAACCCTTCTACATTGCTAGTGGGAATGTAAACTAGTTGAATCGCTATGGAAATCAGTGATTCCCCCCCAAAATTCCATTTAACCCAGTTATTTCCCTTCTAGGTATCTTCCTTAAAGAGTTAAAAACATCATATTACAGTGATACAGGCATACATATGCTTACAGTAGCACAATTCATGCTAGCTAAACCTTGGAAGCAGTTTATATGTCCATCATGAAATGAATGGATAAAGAAAACACATTTTCACTTAATGGATGCTACACAAAGGAAGATCAAATTGCAAAATGATTAGAACTTAAGACCATAATATTAAGTAAAATAAAGCAGGCACACAGCTTAAGTATTCCAGGGTTTGTTTTATATGAGAAACCCAAAATATAAATATTGAGCAAAATAAAAGAAAACAGGAATTAGGAAGATAGATCTTTCTCAAGTAGGAAGAAATGAAGAGCTGGTGGAAAAAGGAAGGAAAGGGAAGAAAAAGGGGTGAAATAGGAATTCAAATGTGTTCTATATACGTAGCAGTTCTCCACAATGAATGTAAAAACTATGTATGGCAAACGTACTATTAAAAATAAAGTAGGCATTTATACAGTGTATATATATATATATATATATATATATATATATATATATATGGCACTTTTCCATTATTGCAACAAAATACTCAACATCTGCAAATTAAAGGATGAAAGACTTATTTTGGCTCACGGTTTAAGAGTGTTCTATCCATGGTTGGCCAGCTCCAAGGCAGAACCGGCATAGCAGAAGGCCTGGAGGAGGAGCACTGCTCCGCCCATAGTGGCTGTGAGCCAGAGAGGGACTGAAGGGGCCTTACATACCCTTCCAGGATGTGCCCTCGATAGCCTCCTTTTTCTATCAGCCCTACCTTCTAACAGCACAGCCAGAGATGAACTCATCAGTGTATTGATCCATTGATTAGTATAGGGTTCTCACGATCTGAGCATTTTCCCAAACCTCCACATCTGAACATGTGAAACTTTTGGGGGACATTTTAGATCTAAATCATAGTGCCATGCTATCTATAATGATGAACAGATTCAATGCAATGTCCAGAAAAATACCAATAGCGTTCTTCACAAAACTAGAGCAAACCCCCAAATTTCTAGGGATACATAAAAGACCTTAAATAGCCATAGCAATCTTGAGCAAAAACAGCACAACAAACAAAAGCTAGATTCATGACATTACTTGATGTCAGAGTAGATGAGAAAGCTGTGGTTATCAAACCATTGACATAGAGACACACAGACCAATGAACAACAGGAAAGAGCACCCCAACTGATTTATAGCATTGATAACCAACTGATTCTTGACCAAAGTGCCAAAAACCCACTTGAAACTTTAAAATCATAGTTTGAATTATAAGAGGACCTTTGGTAACCTCATTTTTAAAATGAGTGAATCCTCTAACAATGTTATGCAAACCTAACCAAAATCGAACCACAGCTTTTTCCCCAAGTGGCCCTTATTAATGATTTATCATGGATGAAATTTGTACACAGAGACTTTCAAAGCCAACTTGCTCTTTAATTTATTTCTAACTTGCAGATGGTTTATTTCCCAACCTGTTCCTGGTGTTGTACTTTATGGATTCCAAACCTAACAGGGTTCATAACTGTTGTGGCAGTATGTTTGGCAATCTGTACTGAAGCAATGAATTATTTATGACTTCAATTCCTTGTCTACTACAGCAAAGTCCTACTCACTGAGAATTTCCAGAGGCCGCCGATGTCATTGCTCCTCTCAAAACAGATGGGCTCCAGCCCCTCTTCCAGACAGCTCCTGATGGAGGCCAAACCACTGACACCAGCCCCGATGATGGCCACTTTCTTCACCATGTTTCCTTGTGCAAAGGTCCTGTGAACATTCCCAGCAAAGATGTTGCTGAAGTTTCTTTTGCTATCACTTTCTGGCAAAAGCAGAAAGCTTACATTTGCACTCCAGAAAACATTCTAAAGAATTCAGGACTCCTGTGAGGAATAAAACTACATTTTACTTGCCTCTAATTTTTAAAGAGAATATTTTTTCCTACAAAATTAAACAATTTGTTTTCCAAAATTAAGAGATTGAGAGTCTAGTATATACACTTATCTCTTATGTTTTGGTGTTTTGTCATGTTCTCTCTACTGAAGAGAATGTACACGAGAAAGAAAAAAGAGGTTCACAACTAAATCACATATATACCACTCATGCACACATATATGTAATATATGAGCTAAGAAACAATTGGTAAATGGTTCATATATGTGTATGTATATGTAGTCATCTATCTGTGGTGGGTTGGTTCCAAAATCTGAGTATGCTCAATTCTTTTATGCAAAGTGGCCAGTTATCTGCATCTCACTTGTGCAAATCCTCCTATCTACTTTAAATCAATTCAAGATTTATTATAATACCCTCTACAATGTAAATAGTACATAAAGAGTTGTCATCATATATAATTTAAGAAACAGTAACAAGAAAATGAGACTGTGTGTATCCCATATGTCCTAGTCCTAAATACCTTTTCAATCCATGGATGGCTGGATAATCATGTGTGGAACCTACAGATATTGAAAGCCAACTCTGCATACATACACATATATGTACTTCATTTTACCTGACATAAGCAAAAGGTCTGTATTTCACTATGCTGATAATCACCTTTTTAAATTTGTAATAACTTCTTTTTATTTTTGATTAAGAAAAGCCAATTCTGTTTTCTCCCCAATAACTGCCTCCCTAATCTCTGTTCTCTTCCAACAAAATTACATTTGCTAACCTTTTCCTGCTCCAGAAACTATCTTGAAGTTCTACTGTTTCTCCTTTTCATTTGGATAAATTCACGCAGGTGCATAAAAAGCAGCACCAAAAACCTCTCCTGAATTACATGACATTCTCGTTTCAGACACATGTGGTATACACCTGCAACATGTTCCTCCTTTATTTACCGATCTGACCCTCCTCCCTGCAGGCTTCTTTTCCCTTTTTATACCTTTTCTTTGTCTTCTTTCTTCTGTACACCTAGCTCCTGGCTGCGTTTTCTGTGCAGCTTTAAAGAGAAAATTCTCCAGCAAGTCTACATTCTAGGGGCAGATGCTGGAAAAAGGGAGGAGCCCTTCTTAAAGAGATAGTCATATGTTGGTCTCTAAAGAGTGATCACACAGCCCAGGGATGTGTGGCAAGCAGGACCAGGCTCTGTGGGATCATAGACCTGGATTCCTGTTAGTCAAGCTAAACCCAAGCTATGGCCACTCCTGGGTCTTTATCCGTGGAATCAACAGTTTCTCCCAGGTGACTTTTTCTTCTCTACCGCATTTCATCATGTGTTATTTCAATGTTTTCCTTATTATCTTTATTCTTAATTCTTCTGTGTATGGTAACCCTCCAACTGATGGTTAAAAACCATAGCTCTTCTTTGAGAAAGCTCTACAGTAAAGTGACATATTAGCTTTCCTGCTACTGGAGACAATTCCCAACACCTACAGCTTAAAGGATGAGAGGTTTAATTTGGCTCATATTTTAAGGAGATTCAGTCCATGGTTGGTTGACTCCAAAGCATAAATCTCATGGTGATGAGATAGGATACAAGAAATAAGGATACAGAGAAAGGAGACAAAGGAAATACAAAATTGTACTTTTAAGAAAATCTGCAGCTTCAGAACAAAAAAGTTATTCAAGCCTCATTTAATACTGTTCTCCTAAGACATGATAAGCCTGAGAAATTCACTTTCACCTGCAAATTGGCCCTTTTCCCCTGTGAGTAGACCATCTCTTTTCTCCTGTAAATTGTTCTTCCTCTCACACACATCTTGACTTTGAACACAGGTAAAAGCTTCAAATTCTAACATAGCCTACCAGCTCCATAGGGCAATAGGAATATACAGCCTAGGTCAGCCATCTTGAAGGCACCTCAGAGCCACATAAAATATACCCAGATCCAGATCAAAATGCCCCTCTCTCATCAGTTTTGCACTCTATTTCTTTGAGTATTCTTTAAATTTTTCCTTAATAATTAATCCCTTTAAGACTCTTACAGATGTGCCCTGAAAATTCTTGCACCATTATGGGAGTCAGTAAACCTATAATTTAAATTCTATGAATAAGGTGGTTTTAAGTAACTCTCTGGAATATAATGTTTATATTAATTGAGGTGATTAGGTTCCTGAACATGGTATAATATGAACCAAGATTAATAATACCAACAAGAATGGAAAATGGGTTAGGGGAACTGGAGGAGGATGGATTGAGGGAGAGAGGAAGGGAAGGGGATTTTTTAAAAAAAGAAACAAGCTATAATGTGTACATGTAACCACTCCTCACGATTACTGTAAGCTGCATGAACTGCAAACACATACAAAGACAGAACAAAGCAAAACAGAGGAACCTTCTTGGACCCTGTACGGTGACAATAGAAGACCATAGTGGAGAAAAACTACTCAGAAGTGGCTCCTGGAAAGCCGAGCAGGGCAACAGTGCCAGAGAGGAAGGGAACAGAGGCCACATACAGTGAGGTCACGTCTCCATGACCCACCCAATAAACCCAGAAGCCTGCCTTACTAATCTATCGGCATACCCCAAGCTCATCACACTGGCACAATTGAGTTTAACCACCACAAATGCCCTTTTCCTGCCCTGTAAAAAACATTTTGAGCTTGCAAGGCATATAAAACTAAGTAAGTCCACCTTATCTTCAAGTTTACCTCTGTTTTAGAGAAATCACATAATTCAGGCGGACTCTTGATCAAGCTGTTGCTTGTCTTCTGAGATATGGACCTACAAGCTTTAAAGTAATAGCATTGTGTTTTAAAGGAATTGCCCAAGAAGTAAACATTCTGGCTGATTGACCGTCTTCCTGGGTCTCCCTCTGGTGGATAAGGGTATTCACTGCATTGCTGTTTGCCTCAAGGAGAGACAGAGAATTACCTTCCAATTAATTGGAGGCCTGGCAGGAAGGAGACCTTACCCATTCTCTTGGGATGTCACTAAGTTATCAGTTCCAGCCATTTATTTATCTGCTTACTTTCAGACATAAAGCTCAACTCCTGCAGTAATGCCAAAAGTTGGGTAGGTTTGAAAAGTATAGCAAAATAAAACTAGTCTATTTCATCATCATCTTGGTTTGTATCACAATAACGAAATATCTGCCTTGCATAGTTTATAAACAATGGAAATCTGTTTCTCACAGTTGGAAAGTCCAAGATTCAGTATCCAAAGAGGGCCAGCTCCTCAGAGATGGCACCATCTAGGTGAGAAAAGGGAAGGGGACAGGAGAAGAAAAACGGGGAGTCTTGCTAGTTTCCTCCACTTACTGTTTAAAAGTCCCTTTCTCTAAAGATTTTTTTAACTGACAAGTAATACTTGTACATATTTACTGGGTCCAGTGTAATGTTTAGATGCTTATACTTTGTTTCAGAAACATAATCAAATCAGAGGGTGCAGTATTCCTATCCGTCACACATTTTATCATTTCTTGTGACAAGAACATTTAACATCCTCTATCCTAGCTACTTTTAGAGTATTAAATGCAGTAATGATAACTATAGTCACCACGCTGGATGGTGGAACATCAGAACTCATTCCTCTTTTCTTACTCTAACGCTGTGCTTATTGACCCCTCTCTATCCTTGTCTTCTCACTGTCCTTCTCGGCCTCTGGCCACCACTGTTCTACTCTCTGCTTCTGTAAGGCCAGTTGCATTAGGTTTCACAAGGAGCTCATGGTTTTTTGTCCTTCCAAGTCTGACTTATTCCAGCTAACACAGTGTCCTCTAGGCTCATCCATTGTCAGAGACTTTCTTTTTTAATGGCACAATGACACATACTATTCCACTGCGTATATCTACCACATTTCCTCTACCCATTCATCTTCTGATCAGCATTGAGATTGATTTCATGTCTGGACTACTGCGAATAGTGCTGCATTAAACACGAAAATGCAGGTATTCTTTTGATATGTTGATTTCGTTTGAACATATATCCAGTAATGAGATCAGATGGAATAGATCATAGGGAATAGATCACATGGAATTCTAGTTTTTAACATTTAGTATGGAATACTTGTGACAGTTGCAATGATCTGAGTATGTTCAATGATTTATGTGTTGGAAGCTTGGTCCTCAGTGGGGTAATAGCGAGAGGTGTTAGGTCTTTTAGGAGGTGGAGCCTAGTGTGAGGTGACTCATTCTCTGGGGTGCTAGCCTTTAGAAGGATATAGCATAATTTTAAAATGAGCCTGGTTAGTTCTCAACAGAAGTTTATTATTAAAGAGCCAACACCGACTCCTCCCTGCTTTCTGACTTCCTGTGTTGTGATATAATCTCTCCTTCTCACTATCCAGGCACTAATCCATGATGCTGCCCAGCACTGACACTGCCAAGCAAATGTAAGCACCATGCTCTTGAACATCCAAAATGGTAGGTATATTAGTCAGTTTTCTGGTTGCTGAGATCAACACCCACAATTTTAAAGTGAAAAAGGTTACTTTAGCTTGCAATTTCAGATTTGCTATAAGGTCAGCGGGCTCCCAGGAGAAATATCACAGTGGGAGGAGATGGCAGAGTAAAGCTATTTAGTTCACGGCAGGTGGGAAGCAGACCCAGGGAACAGTGCAGAGAGGACAAGCACAGACCCCCAAGGCCAAATCCCCACAACCTATGCAAACACAAGGGAAATGTATTTCACTAACTTGCTATGTATTTCTTAGTACACTTACATATAAAGGTTAACAGTCACAGTAAGCTAATTAGACCTTTTTCTTTCTACATTAGCCAGCCTTGGGTATTTTGATAAAACAGTAAAAAATGGACTAACAGTGACTGCATTCATTTACATTTCCACCAATAAAAGTTTCCCTTTCTCCATATCCGTAACAATAACTTTGCTTTTTTGGTAATAGTCATTTTAATTGGGGTACACTGATATAGTATTGTTGTTTTGATTTGCACTTCGCTGATGCCTAATGATACTGAGTACTTTTTCATATATTTGTTGGCTATTAATGTGTATTCTTTTAAGAAATGTCTATTCAGGTTTTTTGCTCAGTTTTAGTTGGATTTTGTTTTGTTTTTATTGAATTGCTTAGGTTACTTATGTATTCTGGATATTCACTTCTGAAATACAGCTTTGCTGGATGAACTATCCTTGGTTAACTTTTTTACCTTCAGCATATTGGCTCTCCTGGCTCCAAGAAATGCTAGTATACTGAAGGTTTTACTGGGACTCCTTTATGTGTAGTATATTTCTTACCTTTTACTGCTTTAACAATTTTTTCCATTGTCTTTAAGTTTGGTAACTTAATTATTATATATCTTCATGTACATTTTAAGTTGACTTTGTATGAATATTTTACTGTTTCCTATATGTGGGTAGGTAAAGGGATCTATCCCCACATGAGAGATGCTTTCAGCTGTTTTTCCTCCAGATATGCCTTCTGGTCTTTTTTCTCCTTCTTTTCCATCTACTATCTATTAAGTCCTATTATGCAAACATTTGATCTTTTGATGGAAATTTCCATGTATATTACTTATTCTTTTTTAATTCTTTTGTCTTTTATTTTGCTTTACTTCCTGGATCCTGTTGATCCTTTCTTTTTCCTGGTCAGTTAGGTAGTTGAAGTTTTCTGCTAAACTTTGCAATTCATTAATAACATTCCTGATCTCTAAGATTTTTATCTGATTCTTTTACTTTTTTCTGTCAATTTTACTTTTTGTGCATTGTCAAGTTTCATTAAATTTTCTATCCATATTATGTGTAGCTCATGGAACTTATTTATTATTGTTATTGTTATAATTGTTTGTCATTTTATAGATTATTATTATTGTTATTGTTATGAATTGTTTGTCATTTTATAGATTTCTATTTCTTTGGAGCCCATTATTGAAACTTTATTGGTTTCTGTTTAAGGTGCTGAGTCTCTGATTTTTTGTAATCTCGTGCCCTTCGTTGCTGTCTGTGCATTTGAGAAGACGGGCCCTTCTTTAAACCCTTAAAGGGTTCTTTGGCAAGGACACTGATGCCCTTTTTATTTCAGGCTGTCATCCTGAAAAAGTCAGTTTATGACCCAGGTAGGCACAGTGTGAGTTTTCTAGTGGATTGGG